TAACTTTGTGCAATCAGACTTTCAGTCACTCTCATAATAACCACTATCTGCCCTACATGTTGCTTTATATTGCTTGTAAGTCCACAACTGCTTATGTGATATTAGGTTCAGTAATGCCAAAGTCCTTAATCTAGTCACTTGGGAGAAATAACCCAAATCTCTGGGATGCACCATCCAATAAATACTGTTCAATGTTAATGTTTGAATACAGTGTATTCAAAGTGGTCAAAATGAATAGGATTTAACTACAGACACCCTTGCTCCTCCACAACCCTAAATATCCCCCTTATAAGCTGTGTACACATCAGCTTGATTGCAATTAAACGTTCATCAAAATCTATTCCAAATCCTATTATCTTAGCCAGCTAATACTGTTGTTGTTTATAGAATGCCATGTTTTACATATTGTTTACGAGTTATCAAATGATATTAGTCCCAGACCTTTAGAATTCCCATCCCAATTACCAAGACTTCTTATCAATATCTTATCTGTAGCGAGGGGGCAGAAGAAGCAAAGCGAACAACACTTCAGAATACAGAGGCAATTCCTTTTTTTTTTCCAAAAACCATTACATGTTTACAGAGTTTTTTTTTCTAGCACACTCTGTGGATGAGAACTTAGCAATCATTAGTCAACACAATAAGACAGCTCTCTGAACAGAAAGTGACAGCAGCTCTGGGAATGAAAAGAAAAATCCATTTAAGACCTTACTTAACCTCACCAAAGAAAACAAGGACTTAGGGAACCGACTTTGATTTCAAGTGTACTGTCTGGTTTGATCAGCTACAGTTAGGATAATAAGAACAATAATTAATTGTCAATGATTAAACGCAGATGTTCTAGCACTAATATATGGCAATGACTCTACCTTTTCAATGGGAAAATTGTGAATTTAACAGTACTTTTACAGTTCATAGTTTCTCATATATTCTTTAAATTAGAAAACTCCCCCTGACTGGTAGCCACAAAAGTGAAAAGCCGGCTACCTTATAGTTAGTTCTATATTATACAGAAAAAGCACCACAGATGCTACACAGAAATATATTTTTATTATTCTAAAATAATGTATCTGAAAATTTAATAACTTTAATGCACTGTAAAGATCAAGTAATTACTGTAAATGCCACAAAACCATTTTCTTTTCTGCTTTTAAAACATCAATTTCAGACAAAAAGTGAAGATGCTATGACACTTTAAATGTTTAATTAGATCAACTTGGTTTCAGTTATGTATCCACTGACACAACAATAATATGTCTGGGGGATTTTGGAGATGTGATACTTTCATGGATCAGCAACTTCTCCACATTGAAAGACAATAATTCCCTTTTAAAGACTTCCCAAACTCCCACAGAGCATGTTATAAAAAATACCTTAAGCTGACATGTTTGATACCATCACCAATTTCTACCATTATCTGGAAACACATCTTGGTACAGAAAGGTTCCTGATCCATTTCTTCTTTTTTTTTTCTGTACGAAAACTGTGTCAGGAAATTATTTTTCACTTGCACTGTCTGACTCTCATCTTGAAGAATGACCCATGTCAAGATAGGTATAATGAAAAACAGACCGAAGAGACTGAAGATAGCAAAGTTTACAGCCCGTGACCCTAATACTGGCACTTTACCAAATGCTAAAGACAGCCATGGAGCACTGACCTCAGTACAATTAAAATCTGGCCAGTAAAACTATGTGAATTTGTGCAGTTATTGGCCACAGTTTTGGTTTGGATTCTAGATAATAAACCCTGGTATCCCCAAAGGCTAGTGGGATAAAAAGACTTTAACAAAGCCTGGAAACGCTGATCAAGCTGAGCTGTGAGAAATGTGAGCAGATACAGCAGTTTTGTGTGCCACCACACAATAGAAAACTATATTTTCCTTTTATAAAATCTTCAATTTGGCTCTTAGACTGAGGCCCCAATAAGGAATTCATCTGGTATGCCAGAACCCTAGCCATAGATCAAGACAGCTTTAAACAGATAGCCAACTATGGCAAGTCAACTTTGCAACATTGGTATAAGAACATATTACTAATGACTATGAATGGTGTATATTTCTGAACTGCCACAAAATGATTGTCAGAATAATCTTTAAAATCCTTTTAACAACTTTGATTGCTTAAAATCTACAGCAGTCTTCACTATAAGTGACTTTTGCTTTAAGACATATTTTGAAATAGGCCCTTTAGGGAAAGGGTGTCTGAAGCCTCAGTGTATGAAGATTGTAGTAGACGTGCTGTCTCACCTGTCGCAATACCAGCACAGAGCCCAGCTGGAGCTGAGTGCCGTATTCCTTCACCAGCTGTCTGTGCACTGTGCCCTGAATGGTGCCTGTGGTACAAGATTGTATGTTAACACTAGTGACACTGAATCCTATACTCTACAGGTATGTTTACACACAGACACACATAAATGGTGACTTCGTTCAGAAAAATACATTACCCAAACTACCACCCCACCCCCCCTTAAAAAAAAATTATAATAATACATAAAAAATAACAGAAATTAAGAAATGAATAAATAAAAATGATTTCAAAAACTTGAATGCACTCAAATGCTGCGGCGCTGAGCAAAGTTAAGTACCATTCACCACTGTTACACAAACTTCACCGAAAGATCTCTTCTCATTAACAATAATAAGCAGTGTAACAATGAAAACAAATCATTTCTGAATATATTGTGTACTATTTTTACCAGATGGGTCCCTAAGCTGTAGACTAGCCTCTGCCTCTCTTGCTTGTATAGACTCTATGACAGCACACACCACAGGCACTTTACCATCTGGCAACAGCTTCTGGCTGGCCTGAGACAATTAAGACAAACAATGTATAAGACATATCTCACGAGGTTCCTTTACAATATTTAAAATTAGCCTCAAGACATAATTCTTACAAATTCAATTTTTTATGTGATTACGTGTAACCTTTGAGAGTTTGCTTTTGGAAAATTTGAAATTAGAATAACAAAATGTTTTTTTTAACCAAAATTATGAAAAAGTTATAGCCATTTTACATAACAACCATTAAACCCCTTGTCCAATATGTGAAATTGCCTCTCATAAGCAGCTAAGAATATTAATTTGTGATGAGGTTTTTCCAGAACTTATATTAAACTCCTATTAATGTGTGTTTCAAATATGAGTAATATATATAATAGAAATTTGCTCTGGAGTCCCCCCCCCCCCAAAAAAAAAATAAAAATAAAAATAAATAAAATAAAATAATAAATAAAAATAATAAATAAATAAATAAATTCAATTAATCACTTCACATTTGGAATTTGAGAGATTTTACTAACAGTAAGGATGTGTCTGCATAACCCCAGTTGCTGATTGAAGAAAAGCTTGCCTGAACTCAAACAACTTACTTTCCTGACAATATTTGCAAGACTATATTTTGCAGCAATGGCGGCGTAGTCAGCCTTGCCCACTTCAAGCAGCATAGCCCTCCAGGTGGCGCCACCAAACACTTCCTGTGAACTCTGGCTGCAGGGAAATAAGGGCGTCTGCAAAAGAGATGAGAACATATAGTGCATTGATTTTACAAGGAAAACAAAAACACTAATTTAAACACATATGACTCGTATATCATTCAAATATTTAATTTTACAATAGACTCTTGGCAGTAAAATTACCTGACATTACTCAAGATGCTCTGCTGATTAAGGGGGGAATGATTATTACTATACAACTATCTAATCAGCCCGTCAAGTCTTCTGTCTTAAGTCAAATACATATGGAATGCTTCAAAATTTGAGCAAATGCCTACCCGTGTGTTAGTGTTTGTGTGTGTGAAGCATTTCTATTCAATAAGTCAACCACTTGAGACTCGTTCTCCATCTATAGGTGTTTTGAGAGATGCCAAAATAAAATGGAAATAATTTTGATTATAGCTGTTGATTTAAAGAAACAATAGTTGTAGCAGAGTTCATTACTTTGTTCTCCTTGGCAACCACAGTGGGCACACACGGACTTGGAAGGCTGGTATCAGACAGACCTGCTTCCTTACTCTGAAATAGATTAACCAAAAAACAATACTTATGCCAAATGCAAAAACAAATATGACCAACTTCATTTTTCTCTGCAGTTAGTGGTCTACTTACCGGTAGTTTCAAGACTAAAACACTCAGACAAAAAATTTATGGAACAAGTTGAGCAGCAAATATCAAATAATAAAATATGTAAGATTATCAATCCTAAAAAATTGTACCATTACTTTTAAAATGTTTTCAAAAATATTTTGCAAGATAAATAAATAAATAAATAAATAAATAAATAAATAAATAAATAAATAAATAAATAAGGCTAAAATGTGCACCCTAACTGACAAAACTCTACTAACCAACTTTGGCAGAAGCCCAGCTGGGCCTGGAAACTTCCTCTTCTTTTTTGAAGATGCTTGTACTTCACCCCATGGCATATGGCCCTCTGATCCCAACTTTTTGATAGATGGCATTATTCTCTGTGGAGTGGACGGGTCACCAGATGTCTCCATTGTCTGCGGTCTAAGCATGCTGCTAGAGGGAGCAACTGTCTGTGATCTCAAACCATTACCAGATGACTGAATTCTTGATGATTTATTATTACATGTGGGTGTCTCTAATGTTTGTGAACCAAGTGCATTTTTGAATGGCGGTTTAGTATCTGACTTACTGGTAGATGGTGTTACTGTCCGAGATCTTAACCCGCCAGAACAGTGCGGCACTGTCTGTGGTGATACGCCATTAAATGATGATGAATCCAAACTTTCTTTATTCACAGACAATGATTCATGAATGGAATTTACCACTGTGTTCTTCCCTAAAGAATATCTGTTAGTTTCAGATGACGCTGAAAATTTACAGTCCTTACTGTCATCAGATTTAATACCACACAGAAAATTATCAGACTGCCTGTTTCCCAATTCACCAGCTGTTCTAACATTTTCAGAAACTTTCTTTTCTATAGAAGGCAGCACCGACTTCTGTCCACTGCAGCTGCCGCTTGGGTCATCTTCATTACCCAGAATACCACTCTTCTTCAAGTTCCTGTCACATGACCAGTCATCATCTGACCACTGGTCCAGGTCACATGACACTGCTATCTCCTCTGCTGTCAAGCTGTCTACAGAAAAGCCATGGGCTTCACTTGTGTTCCTATCTTTTGTATATTCTCCATGGGTTCCAGACCCTGTTAACTTTGCCAATCTGTTCTGGTCAGTGTTTTCATCAAAGCCTGTAAGTATGGAAGGCAACGGCCTTCTTTCACTCAGTCCCGAGTTGGAGGGAACAGCTGCAGAGTTCGAACTAAAACTGGATCGAATCCCCCTGGGAGATTTAAATGTGAACTTCTTTTTGGTGGTTGTGTTCATAGCCTGTGGCTGGTCAGTTTGAATTCTCTGGTCACTGGGAGCAGTCTCTGGTCCTGGACAGTGCTGACCCTTGGTGTGAGGTCCCTGGTCACATGATGTGGGGTCAGTTACTACATGTACGAAGAACCAAAGAACACTCAATAGTTCATATCACAAGATTAGTGTTCTCATAGACTGCTGAAAATGCCTTAATATTGAGAGTATTATCATTATTTTCATCATTTTTTATAAATACCTATATATTTTCACAAAGGGACATGCAATGTTTTTTTATTACAAATGTACAAAGAGATATCAAGGTAAAAAGAGCATCCAGTTACTCGAGAGGAGCTTAGACATTACAAAATTGAAAAATACCATTTATAATGACAGCTATAATATCAACCATTTTCAACACAAAGCCAAATGCTGCACATCAAACAAAGACCTTTTCCTAAATTTTAAATCAACTGTGTATCAGATTATCATGCATTTCTTATTACCTCTTCCACCACTTTCTGTACATCTAGCTTTCTTTATGCCAGGGTCATCACCATCTCCATAGCCAAGCTCAAAGCTACTTCTCTTTTTATTCTGCACAGCTGATTTGATTGTGCTGAAGGCAGCACTGAGGAAGTCCTTTAAAATATAGAGAACATATCACAGCACACTAAGATAATGTTTTCTCAATAATAAGTGGTGTATCATGTAAATGGTCATGTTTTACAAATCAACTGAACTAAGACATTTATGACATATCTTTTAAAAAATACCTACTAGTAGCCGATATGATTTGTGAAAACAGTTAAATACAGTAACAACTAGTAAAATACATATAAAACCATGGGATGTGACTGCCTTTTAAAACAGTCATCTCATCAAATATCTATGAATAAGTCAAACTGATTTAGGAGCGAACAAATGATACACATTTTTGGTGGATAAATCCATGTCACAGACTTAAAATCTATTAAATTTTATTGTCATGTTTTAAACATTATGCCATGATATTTTACATATTTACCCCTTCCTCCAAGCTTAAGTCCAAGTCATCTGTGTCATCCAACTGGAACATTGTGTACTGAACTGTTGACAAACACACAGATCTCTACAACCCCCAGACTATAGTTGACAACAAGCTAGATGGGTGTTAAAGTGTCAGACAGCTAGGACTTCATCCTGGAACCCTCGGTCACCTCCCAGTTCTTGCTGTTATCATGGAGACATAATCTCATGGTAACTAAAATGTTACTTAAAGAATATACTATTTACAAGCATGCATGACTTTCAGACGACCACATTACTGTTAAAGCACTAGTCCGTACATATACTGGTCAGCATTTCTTGATTCGTGAAGTGAATTTCGGGGGTATCAAGAATTCCGGTTAGTTTTTAAATATTAAATCCACTTTTAAGGGTATCGTCCATCCAACAAAGACTCAAAACTCACCCATTAAATCTGGATATCAGTATAGAGATACTCTAAGCTTCAGGAAGTCAGAAACATGATATTAACTCTAAACCTCGATGGGTTGAATGTTTCCACTCTCTTGGAAATGGCGGCTGTTTACATCATAAATATCGGGAAGTCTCGCGAGATTTTGTGAGCCCTGCTCGTTTCACTTTCAACTTAAAATTTTACAGATAACTGACCCAAAACAATGTATTTCAGCGTTTGCATTTTTGAATCGAAAGTTACTTTAACTTCCTTACCATTCTTTCTGTCTTTCTTGTACCGATACGCCTAATTTCGGACTTGTGTACTTCTGTTGCCTTCTGTAGGCTACGACGGCCGGCTATGACTCATTCTAGGTACCTGAGTACACTGTACATGTAGGCCTGTACGTAGTAGGGCCACTTTAATTTTTTTATTGTATTAAAAGTACGCGAGCGGAAGAATTGTTTGTGCAACTGGAACTTTTCTTACAATCAGTCTAGCAATTTTCAAAAACTGCTTGATTTACTTGTTCTCAAAAAAAAAATAATAATAATAATAATTAATTTCAAACGATGGCAGCCAGAAAACACGTTACAGTACATGTACAGGTACATGTACTACACAGAGCTAACATTGTAAGAGTGATTTCGTGCTTATTTAGTTGGTGACGTATGTATCGGTCACACAGGTATCTGCCATGTTTCTTAATGTTGAAGAACATCTATGATGTGCCCGTTAAATAAATAATATGCAGGTATAACCTTGAAGTAGGCCTATAACCTTAAACGGTAAAATATACTATAGGGTCTTGTATTAATGCTTGAATGTGCGATGAAAATTTTCCATAGATACGACGTGTGTTTTCAGAGTTTTAATAACCTTCGTGTGAAAACATGTTTTGGTACACGCTTAATTAATACACAGTGTACAAGTAGTTTTTTTTTTCGGTTGCATAGGTCAAGAAGTTGTAACCTACATTTAAATAGTATATTTTGATAAGTGATTTTGATTTTTTTTTTGTTGTGTTTTATCTTAAGGTAACGCATATATCTTTTATGCGGCGTTCCTTGTTGTTAATTTTCTTAAACATGAAATAAAGCAATATGTCACAGTTGGATGTTTACTTATTTATTTATTTATTTATTTATTTATTACACAGACCTCTATAAAATAATAGCACTAGGCCTATGCATGCTACCGACTCAGAATGAACGTCCCGGCAATATATGATTATAAACCATAAAGTCTTTGACAGGCATGCAGAAACGTACATGTATGTATCGTCTTGGGAGATTAAAATTATTATTGCTGCCTGGAGAACGAAATGATTTGCATACAATACGTATAACGATACACTGTCAGGTACACAGTCATTTTACCTTGATATTAACAATAATGGTTAATGTTACAAATTTTGCATATACTTTAAGAATGTTTGTGGAACAGTATGAACACTATTTCTTCTTATTACTGACTTTGGTTGTTGGTTTCCTAAACAGTCACCGCTGTAATCACGTTTTAATAGAGAGGGGGTTGGGTTGGGGATGGGATATAACAAAAAGTTGTTTTACTTTCGAAAAATGGTTACACCCATTACTAAAAAGCTTTGAACTGATCGCAGAATAATAAAAATGCTTTTCAGTTCACTGATTTTCACGTCCACATAGATGTATTTAGAGCATATACTTGTAAGGTCACTAATATGAAGCAGACCTGCATATTAGGCTATATTGTACAGGTGCAGAAGGAAACCATGCGCCTTACAAATACTGTTTTTAAACGTTCAGCACTTGAAATAACACTGCAATGTACACATTTTCATTTCTTAGACGGGATTTGGGCTGTTATAATTAATTATTACATTTCTTATGCCTCCTACTCTTCAATCACAAACAGACCTGTTTACAGGTAGGCCTACAGGATATACCACCATGTGCTATCTCAGTATCTGGTCAAAGTTTTATTTTGATTAAAGTATACCTTTTCTCCGCGAAACAAAATGACCAGAGCACTCTTTTTTAATCATGCACTAAAAACAAAACAAAACAAAAAATAAGTGTTTAAATGTTTATTTCTTCCAAATCTGGACACCTTTAATTGGGACTCATACTATATTAGTTATAAATTCATAAAACTTTGAAGCTTACAAATTCAATTTGGCTTGCAGTTCATAAAACTGACGCTTGCATACTGCATGGGCGTAAATGATGAAGACCATATAAGAAATATTTGCAATTTAAAAAATTCATTACAAAAACCAGCAAAAGAAGATCAGAAATACTAGTGCAACCGCTAAGTCAACATGCTATTTTACAGGTATAATGTGAGAAATTCTTCAAGTATAAAGCAATGAGTTCAAATATATTTTATAAAAATATTTCTGATGTTCACATCAATCTGTTGTTTATGTATTTCAATGATACATGGCGTTGAACATCTCAAAATTGTACATTCATCAATAATGTAAGATCATAGCCATTGTACCAAATGTGATAGTTTCAACAAAGGATTTTTAATAATGCACATCAACTTCCCTTTGCAATATTTAACTTACATTCTAAAGTCTGGGGAAATTGAACTTAACAAGTTTTCCTGAAATATCACCCAAAAAGTAAAACAATAGACATTTTCACCTACAGAAACATCTGAATGACCGAATCCGACAAACTCTGTACAGCTTCATCAAATGTAGAATTTTCACCAGATTCGGCAATCAATTTGAATTCAGCATTCTTCAGTGATTTAGGTCTTTGGAATTCCTTGAATAGTGCCAAAACTTTGGGCGAGACTACCAGCCCGTCCAACACAAAAGACTCTAAGGCATCGTCCTTTGGTAGAGCTGCAAGCAGTGCTTTTGCTGAAGCCTCATGAAATAACACGCTCTCTTTTTGTAAGAATTGGACAGAGATCTTTCTAAGAACCCGATTTTGTTTGATTATGTCTGTCAAATCAGACACAAAATCTGCGGTTCCACCACCGTATATTACATCCCAGCCAGATAACTCCAGGGAAACTAAAGTTCTATTGCGCTGGGCAACAGCCTGAAGAATATGGCGAATGCCATTTTCTTCTCCAACATTATGCGAGGCGACATCTGATGAACCATAAATTATACCTCGACCTCGACTTAGGAATGATACTGCTAATCTTTGGATGCTTTTACTGCTTTTGATCAGGTTGGTCACTGCTGTAATCAGCGTTTTGATTCTATTTCCTAGACCTGGAATATTTTCCCAGCCAATCATCTCAAACCTGTTCAGGCTGTGAGACTCACTGATCGCTGCAAGAGTTTCCAAGATTGCAGTCGTGATGCTATCTGGGATTTCATCATCTCTTTCTCCGTTGTGCCCTCCAAACCCCACAACAAGTGACTGTAGATCCCTATTTTGTTCAACAAGTACCTTTATGGCCGAAAGAACGGGCGAGGCATTATGACCAAAACCCTCAATGCCATAGAGCTCAACTTCCTGAAAGGGAGGTGGGTGCTGTAAAGGCAGCAGTAAAATAAGCACACTTGATTCATCTAAAGATTGCCTCCCTAAATCGAGTTTAAAACCCAACAGATTACTTTCAGGTGATTGTAATAAAGCTGAAAGCTCTTGCCAAGAACCCTCAGTCACAGTAACGTCTTTGCCAAAACTCATGCTAAGATGATCGAATGTTTCCTTAGTTTTGCATAACCGGCAGAATTCTTTGAGATCTACCGTACAGTTTCTAAACGTGACATCCAACTTCTTAATTGGCTCTGCGCCCAACATAAACGAGCACAACTCTGGAATAAAATCTCTACTGACTCGTTCCATCTTATAAGGCCATGGCAAACATGAACAGAAAGGTCTTTTCTCTTCTGTTTCTTCTCCATTGAGACTGATTGAAAGCGTCTCAATATTCTTTGCATTCTTTAAAAACTCTAAGGGGACCTGCTTAAAATGACCCTTCACTTCAAGTGCCCTCACTGTGGACTGATTGTTTGAGAAGGTGTTAAACACGGGGCCTAAAATGCAGTAGTCGAATAGTGGAGTGCTGCAACGGTCACCCATTCCAACCGTATCGTCAAGTCTAGTCAAACAAAGCTTTTGCAAATTTGGTAAAGAAGAGATAACCTCACATATCAGATTAGCCAGTGTGGCAAGACCATCAACAACTTTGGCACCTGATAACCCAAGCGCAAGTGTTTCCACAGACCTGCAACCTGTAATGATCTGTTTCACTCTTTTGAAGTAGGACGTTTGTGCACAGGCATAACTTAAGGTATCACAAACACCGTCTGATTGACCACAGACTACGTTGATTATTTTTGGAACCTGCTGAGGGAGCTTATCTTGATACTCAAGGACTTTTCGGAGGCCTTGCTCAAACTCGTAGGTCATATTAATGGGCAAAGTCAAAATCTCCCAAAACGAACATGAAAAGCAATCCAGAAAGTTATATCTGTTGCATTCATAAAAACATTCACATATAGTCTGTAACATACCAGCTTTCACCATGCTCTGAAATAACCTATCAGCATCAACACTGTGTAAGAAATCCAGCCACTCAGCGCTTTCGTTCTTCTTCATTAATTTCTCATAAACCAATTTGGTCAATTCTGCCCTCATAATTCGAATCAATTTTTCACTCTCAGTTGGCGCATCTATAGTCTGCACTGCCTGAGCAAGTGCATTGAACAATGGCTGGCTCTTTTCAGCCATGAACCCTGCAACAAATCTGCTTAGGAGCCTGTTGGAAGGACCACTGGCACATCGAACAAAGAAAGTGTCATTTGGGGCGGACTGTAATGACACATACCAAGCACAGAGTGCTTCTTGGAACGTGCGATGCAAAAACGAACACGTTGTATATTCAAACGTTTTTGAATAGCTCCTTTCCTTCTTCATAAACCCTAGTTCAATAAATTGAACATTGTAGTAACCCCTACGGATGTCTGCCACTGAAAATGACATCGTGTCATTGTCACACAGGCCGTCATAAGCTAATTTCCCAAGTTTCTGTAAGAGGGGCAACACTTTTTCTGGTATGTTTTCATCAGACATTTCTATTTTGTTACGTTCACAATATCTTTTAATTATGTAAACAGATATTTCCCAATACAATCTGCTGATTGTATCAGGAAGAGACCTTTGATGAACTGACCATACCAAGCAAAGCAAAACTAAATTCAAAGGGTTGCAGGATATTTCAGACACATTTCGTTGTTCTGACAATTTTTGCAGCAAATTTTGCCCAGATTTTGGGTCGTCTTGGAAGTGTTTTAAGACGTAGGCATCTCTGTTGGTTTCTGAAAACCCGTTGATGGAATAAAATACCTCACACGCCTTAAGATCTTCGTTACATTCATACGGCCGAGATGTAATTAGGACGGTGCTTTTTCGCAATAATTTAGAATGCACAACTTTATCGACGTCAAAGTTGAGGATGTCGGACTTTTTGTGTTCGGGGAGTTCATCATAAGCATCAAAGATAAACAAAACATGTTCTTGATGCTTTGCTAGCTCCTCCAAGACTTCCTTATAATCAATGGTTTGCGTGTAGCCCAGCTGCATCAAAAGGTCTTCTGGAAGTAACTGATCAAAACATGTCTCGACAAGAGAATTTCTCATATTTTTGCATTCTAACAAAAAGACTAGTTCAAACTGCGGGTAAAGACCCCGCGCCCAGTCATATGCAACTTTGTGACAATACAAGGTTTTGCCTACACCAGGTTCCCCCTCCACTCTTACACGACAAGGCTGCCTCCCAGAGCTTTCTCTAGCAAACATATTACTAGCTTCAGTGAGATCTTCTTCTCGCTCTCCCGAAGGACCAGATCTATATTTTCTCTTGATTTCTAAATCTGTATACACTTCATAAAACTGAAACTTGAACTCATCCAGCCAAGGAAGAGGTTGAATATCTGTAAAAAGGTCCAGGTATAGATCCTTCAGGATTTCGGCTACTTTGGCCCACCACCGAGGTCGACTGGCCAGGCTATTGGCAGGGGGACAGGTTAGTTCATACATGTAGGATTGGCCATTGATGGGTGATTTTGATGCATCTATAGGCCCTGAAAATAAAAAAAGAAGTCTTTGTATGTGAACAACCCGGATGTAAGAAGTTATAACTGTAAGTGAAAACAAGGCAGCAACGTTGTTAACAGACAAAAAAAGCAGAAAATAATGATGCACAAAAATGTTATTTTGCCAATTTGGTGCAGTAATACAAAAAAAAAAAAAACTTTTTAAATATCCAACAGGTTTTCAAACTTGACCTGTACCTATGTCATATTCATCAGTCGTGTGAGTTTGAAAGTCAAAATAGGTTAAACAGTTACCCTTGAAATGTGGTATCTGTATTGTATATATATATAGTATAACGTATGCTGAAAACAAAAACCAATAAAAAAGAAAAGCTCGATCTGTATTTTATCAATATTGATAAATCCTGTAAGTTTGAAGACAATTGGCTTATTAGCTTTCCTTGAAATGTGTCATCTGGATTGCATATACCGGTAGTATAGAATATGCTAAAAAGCACAAAATAAATACATAGACCTCGACCCCGGATTATGGAACGATATTTGACGTTTTTCAGCTTTGCACAGTCTGCGTATAAAAATGAACGTAATCTAACCTCTAATACTTTGCATGTAGCTACGATAGAGCTTTATTTACTATCTTGTAAAGCTTAATCCATATGATTGGGGTTACTATTGGAGAAAAACGCTAAAATAATGGTTAACTTCTTGTTGTTCTCAAACCCCGGATTATGGAACAAAACCGGAAGTGCGCAGATAACGTTGCGTCAGAGTTTGTTAGATAAGATGCAAGGCAATATGTAGCGCAGGGGGTCTATTAAAGACAATAAAACGGCAAATGCGCATTATATTGCGAATATCAATGAACATAACAGCAGTTGTTATTCATATTTAGTTGGTCTTTTACTTTTAAACACAAATATTGCTAAAAAATGGAATAGTCCACTCATTTACCACTGCCTTGATCGGATTATGGAACAAAACGAGAAGTTGCCGCTACGTCGGAGTATCGAAGCGATATTTAGTAGTCTGGTCATTTAAAATGCCAAATTGAAAATACTGTATTCATTATTATGAAAGAATAATATTGATATTTCCCATTTTAAAACTCATCGATCATTCATTTGGCCAGCCTTCAGGTAACAACACCAGTAATGATTCAAAATGAAANTCTTATAGGAAATCCTATAGGAAATTTTCGTAAGGGATATGCTGAAAAAACTGCATAACTTCCAGAAAAAAGCAATCAGGCCATTCTAAACTGTATAACAGTCCTATGAATTTTTTCTGTAATCTTGAAAATCATAAGTAACACGGTTTTTCATTAATGGTCAGTATGGTATCATAAGTATTTTCTTCATTAATCGTCAGAATGGTATCATAAGTGTTTTCTTCATTAATGGTCAGCATGGTATCATAAGTGTTTTCTTCATTAATGGTCAGTATGGTATCATAAGTGTTTTCTTCAAATATTATGCAATATTGCATAATGCTTTACAGCATAATCACCACCAATTTTCAATTATGCACTGCAGATAACATAAATATTTGGAAAGAGTGATCAGCATAGGTATTCAGGCCCATGGAAGTGCAAAGCCACTCCCTGGGAATGCCAATATGTGAAAGATGAACATTTCACAAAAATGTATAAATTCAAAAAGAAAAAAAAGGAAAATATATGCTAAAAAAAGTAGAATAAATAAATAAATAAATAAATAAATAAATAAATAAATAAAAGACAAAAAAGATAATTCTGGAAAATGGTCTGATCAAGCTGATTTTAGAACACGATGTGGCTTTACTTTAAAAGTACACTAGATAATAAATCAGAACTAGTTTGGAATTAAGCTAATATGAACAAACTTAAACCTGCATCTTATTTTTTACGTGTTCGCAGAGATTTTCTGTCGCAACGGTGTATTGTTTACTTTCTTTTCATACCAGCCCGACAGTCAACAAGGTGTGTTAGATTTCTTTATTTGTTTGTGCCCGATTATGATATGTTACTGTACTGAAAAGCTAGGTTGACATATTGAAAAATATGCTGACCTTGAAACACGGGTTCATATATATGACTACCGGCATATGACTGATGAACAAATTAGAAGCAGGGAATGTAATTTTATAAAGGTTACATGTGCTATATTCTTGGTAGCTCTTTTTTTTTATTATTAGCTAAAACTTGCTGTTATTTGAAATTAAGTTTGCTCTATTAATTAATCCCAGCCTTAGAAAATACGCAATATCAGTTTATCAATAAATAATAGTGTTTCTTCCTGATGTATTTACGTTGAAATGGAAATAATTTCGTGTCTCTTTTAAGTCAATAAGTGTAGTAAATACATCAGTAAATTTAGTAAATGTTGTATCTACAACTTTACACCTTTGAAAAACACCTTCTTTACGCCTTTGAGAAAAGGTATAATTATAAAAATAATTTTACGGCAAAAGGTTGGTGTAAAAAAATTCAAGTGTTTTTACCTTTCACTTCCACCAGTATTTCCTCCACTCTAGTCGCGAGCTCTGCGATTTGATCGGATTGTTTTTGGACCGTCATTGCCAGATTCTCTCCCTGCTGGTGGAGCCTCTCCAACATAATCTTGGCTTCCTGGTCTTGCTTGTACCAATCTCGGATCACATTAAGATATGTCTCCTCATTTTCAGTCAATGGATCTGTCTCTAAAGCGAGGATCTTGCTTTGCCAGTGCGGGCCACCGAGGCGAAGTATAGCCTGTTGTATTACTGGAAAGTAAGTGTTGAACGAAGTCTCCGGAAGTTTTGAGCTCTCCACGTGCGCGTACAAATGGTTCCTGCACCACTTCAGTCTTGCCAAGTCGTCGACTACTCCCGTGTCACCTGCCTTTGGTAGCTGGTCCCAGCCATTGGCTGGCGGAGAAAGATTGCACACATTTCTCAACAAAATAAAAAGAAGAGTTATGTCAAAGTCCTTTGACTGTCCAAATGTATTTGTGGCCGGGTACAGTTTTGTCCACTGGGGCTTTGTTAAAACATGCTTCGTACGCAGTCTCAACAAATGGCATTTATTTCTGAAGAGTATCACTGGGAGGGTCACTGGAGGGTGAATTTTATCAAAAACCTCTCTTACTGCCTCGGTCCCGCAGTCCAGCAATAGCCTACACATCAGAATAAAATGTCTTCTTTCTTCGCCACACGAATCCATGATATTGTACGTCACTCTTTACCTGAAAGGATTTGCAACATTATAGTATTTGCGTTTAGGGTCAATTTATAGAATATTTTATAAAAACATTAGAATTCCTACTACAAATAGCACAAAATGCCGATGTGCCATGCAAGTACGTACAGGTATGTAGTGTTACTGTAGGGCCTACATGTACATGTATGCGACAACCTGTACAATTAAAATACTATCAAAAAAAGCCACCCCAATGTATTTATGTACATTGCAAAAAGGGTACCCATACAAGGGAAGGAACCAACTATCAAACTGTGACAGCTACCAAACTAGGGAGAGGTGGGGTAAACAGATTTTCTCGCTTATCCAGGTATCCCGTTGACTATTTGTCACTTTAAATTGCTTGACCACTACCCACCACCCATCACACTAATATTCACAAAATATCTGTTTAACTGTTCATCTCTTTACTCCACCTTTAACTGAAGGATAGGTGGTTATATTTTAATTAGTACATGTACTTGTGCTCAATGAGAAAAGAATTTGCTATAAAATAATTTGTTACATGATAAAGTTGTATTATCACACTAGAAATATTAATAACACGAATGAAATGTCTTAAATTTTACACTTTCTACTTTATATTTGTATATAAATATATATATTTCTTGGGGGGGATTGCCCTGGGGGGGGGGGGGTTGTCTGGGGGGAATAGTCCGGGGGGAGGGGGGAGAATTGTCCGGGGGGGGGGGTATTGTCCTAAAATCGAGTCCAATCTAGACGCCGAAAGTCAGTAGGCTCCTATTTTGACAAATCTGAAATTGACGGAGGGGAATTCTCGCAAAAACTACCACTCTCACCCAAAGTGATATACTGAGGATCCGGACACACGTGCATTTCGTCTGCTCTGCTTGTTGTCTGATATATTTATGCGTATTAAAATCAATAAGTAAGAGACGCCTACCCGTTCATGCACATGTACTACAATGTACAAAATGTCGGCAATGCATCACTACACCTAGTAAGCTTCAAAGTATTGTCAAAATATTCTACATTTAGCTAATTTCAAACAACTTACTTTTTATGTTTGCATAAAATAACTTCTTTAAAAAGGGCTACGATGTACTCCCCCGGTATACTTGTAGCCAATGCTAGAAAGAGCTAGGTACTTCTCAACAACGCAGCGCGCCCTTCTTGCGGCATCCCGGACGGATCTTTGCAAATTAGCATTAAGGCTGACCCATTTTCTCAGCCGTTATCTTTTGTGGTGTGACGCCAATTTTCATTGTAAAAAGTAGCGTCAATACGCTCAGGTGCTCATAGAAAATTAACAAATCCAATACAATGCAACGACCTGTTCAATGCAACAGCCTTATACAATTATGCATTAACGATACTAGATCTATAAAGTATTTTACTTTTGTTTGGTTTGTTTGGTACTAATACAGGTACAGGTATTTGTTCGCAAAAACAAACACAATCGGGCCTTTTCTTTCAACTTCATGTGGGCCTTTATCCAAACAGTTACTAGTACACGTAGGTCTGACTTGAAGATATAATATACCCTGTATATACTAAATTTTAATACGGCTAATATGTGCATAAATACACTCATTTTCAATATGTAGGTCCACGTTAAGATGAAAAAAGTGAAAATAAAGATTTATTTGCGAATCCTCCTTATTCTAAATCTCTAGCGACAGAGAGTGATAAATCAAGCTTTTTTTTGTAAATAATGTAAAATTTTACATTTATCCTTTGCTAGTATTGGGAAATTTTAGAAACGAAGGTTTCAGCTGTTCTTATAAGAAAGATTTTTAAAAACAACCGTTTTGGATAATTTTCAATATAAAAGTTTTTAATAGTAACAAACAAAGGCGCAGTACAGGATGCACGTTTATTTTACTGACACATTTTGTCAACTATTTTTCCCCACAATGCATACCGGTAACGAAGTTTTACGAATTACAGGAAACAGGGCAAAACTTCGTTCTACTAGTAGTAGAACGAAGTTTTGCCGTGTTTCCTGTAAAACATTTAACTGTGCCCTGTCACCATGTTGTCTAGCTACATTAAGTCCAAAAATCATTTTTTCTTTGTGGGTATATCTTTGGGTGTCAAGCTGGCTAGAGGGTAGATCCTTGAATTCTCTTCCCGGTAGGCCTACTATATTTTAACATTGTACAATAGACCGGCAGCCGAAATACTAATCTAAATTATAGCTGTACATGCACTGTATGCATCTCTATTCTTCCCTAAACAAAAATCTTCTACATAACCTAAAAATAGTAAGCATAGCTGTGTCGGCACCTGCTGTCAGAGATCAATATTAGGCCTATTTGGAAACCTAATCTACCCTATTTAAACGGCTGCGTTCTATACTACAGTATAATATAGGCCTAGTGCCTATGGTCATGTGGATAAATTGGACCACAAATAAATAAACATAAGTGCTGCTTCGTGCTGAAATTAATATCATAAATTTATTTAAAGCGTATTATCAGTGAAATCAACCTTCGCACATTCAACATGGCAAACTTGCTTGAATGATGATGACTAGGCCTGATACTCAGTATGTGAAGGCCTAGCTCGAATGAACAACGCGACTGTTCTTGCTACCTACTAAGGTAACTGGACAAAGGGCATGGGCACGATACGCTGTACTTTATGTATCTTAATTATCATCGAAGAACACTGCTTTCCAAAGGCAAATGTGCATGAATCACAGCTTCTTCAGGTCGACATCTGATCATATGATCATGACGTCAAGTGACCTAATAAAATGCCCAAAATCTATTTTTAGCATTTGACTCAATCACGCAAAACAGAGTATAGTGTAGAAACCACGTGCAACAGTTTTTGGCATAGAAAAAAGTGTATGTGGAATCTCTGACCGTTAACATCAAAGTTGCGACTGAAGGATATATATTTGATCCCCTTTAAAACAGGTAGGGATCTAACAGAAGTACAAAACACATGAATACTAGACCGTGGTAAATGACATTCGCGACGTCAGAGATCAATATTGTTTGCTGAATTTACCTACAGTACAACTGCGTCCTTTCAGAGTATGTGCAATAGGCCCCGATAGCGCCTGTGTAAATTGGTTAGTTGTATTTAAACAAAAAATAAGTGCAAGCGCTAGTTGCAGCTGTATATGTTAATGCTGTAGTATTTTTTTAAGGCATTTATAAGTGAAATCGCCTTTCTTGTAGAACATGATTTATTTGTGCTTTAAATCTTCAACGATAATGTGAAGACCTTCAAACATGTATATGTAGTTCCTTTGCGGAAATCATTTACTTTCTTTCACGTGTGCATTTTGTTCATTTCATATTACACCTTATTTAAGGCAAACAACTGTTTTGTAGAGGTAATTTCTTCTTGGGATTTTACCCGGAAGTTACGAATTACTCATGATATCGATATTGAAAGCTGATCTTTCTGTTTTAGCCTTTGACTCAAAATAAACACAATAGTACGAACAGAAACCAGCAAATTTCCCACCAGAGCAAGAGTAAATGTGGAAGCTCTGGCCGTTAACATAAAAGCTGAGACTGAAGGCAATAAGTATATACACATTTTAAGTGATTTTTACTTAAAAGTATAGCACCAGTGTCGCTTGTACATGAAACAAATACGCTTTTAGAGCTGCCGTTTTCGTTTTTGTTTGATCCGTTACCACAATATGAGTTAAATTTAAAGTTTAAGTGTTTGATGCTGTGCTTATTTTTTCCTTTTTTACGATTTTTAAAACCCTTCAACGTGAAATTATGGGTTTTCGTGCATTTTTTGTTGAAAAAAAGCATCAGCTGTGCAACTTCAACAGCAATTTGCATGCAGATCCGAAGTTCGGTAGTCCCCTTGTCAGTAGCTTGAGAAGTAATCTGAAAGTTTATCAGTCAATGTGTGGTCTGCTTGTTGAGCAAGACATTATCTAACGTGGATACGATAACCTGTTAGGTTCACATCCCTGTTGTGCTCATAAGTAAGATGCTCCCCCCCAGCCCCCCCCCCCCCTCCATCTCCCTGTGGTACATGTATAATGATGACAGAGGTTGAGTAGCTCAGGGTGAGTTTGGCCTTACTAGACAGTTGTTGCTATGTCTGAAACAATTGACAAAAGATCTTTGATCACATTTCCCTTGCATTCGCGACTTTTATCACAAGTAACTTGTAAACATATGTATTTCTAAACTGGAAATCAGACCCATCCTTGAAGTGTAATAGAAGGCCCTTTGAAGCATATTAATATACAAATAACATAACTTTTATGTAAAACAATCAAGATAACTGAAACTTTGGGGAATGCTCTTACATATATTAAACTCAGTCGAGCAAATTGCTTATAATTTGACAAACCTTTGTAGGATTAATTCAAATTGTTATGGGTTTTGTTTATTTTGTGGGGTCATCCTGTATGATATTTAAAGGGATAACAATTGTTCATTTTGGCCAAAAATGGTTTTTTTTCTAGGGTAAAGGACTATTTTCTCATACTTACCAATGGTTAATGAATCCATTCCCACATTCAAAGTTAGTCCTTGGTTCTTTTCTAAAAAGTTTTTTTTTTTTTTTTTTTTTGTAATATTCTCTTAAAAGATTATTACAGAGCATAGCCATCTAGGGAGGTCACGTGTTGTGATGGCAAGTATGAATTCCAGAATAATATCGTTGACCACCGTTTTTTGGTGGTGAAATTGATTTTATTATATTTCTATGAGTTGTTTACAATGCATTTATTGTGAAATATGAATAACTTACAAACAGTTGTTTTCCCTTTAAGAGATTTAAAATTAGTTTTCTGTTATGAGTAACTAAAAGACAATGTAATTTCCTTTTTTATTTTCACATTTGCATTCTCCTATAGAGATGGCTAGCATTATTGAAGGAAACCAACATTTGCAAGACATCGAGACCCTCGTTCAACAAGGAGAGTACACCGTGGCTTTACTGGCAATGAAGGAAGACGTGGAGTCCACATCTAACAAAATACTGTACAATTTTTACAACAATACCTGCATGGCCTTGGATGATGCCAACTCGACAGACGAAGGCATCTTAAAAGCCTTAGCAAACCAGGCATTGGGTGTGGCTTATAGTGAAACCCTAAAGCACAGAGAGAAGGCAAAGGCATTACCATTTTACATAACAGCGAAGGATAGTCTGTTGGAAGTCTGGCTGCGACAAAAGGGACTTATATCCAATGAAGAAAATTTGGCAGAAGCTTTGAATAATATTCACAAGATATTGCGTTTGTATAAAACAGCGAAAGAAAGCCTGGTGAAAGTAGAGGTGCGACAAAAGGAACTTACATCCGTTAATGAAAATGTGGTAGACGCTTTAATGAACCTTTACGAGACCATTGCCTGGTGTTACAATGTGAAATACGACTTTGAAAAGCAATATGTTCACCTGAGAGTGGCTTGGATCGTAGCAAATGAGCGGGGATTGAAAGATAAAGCGGCATGCTTGCTGATGCAGTTGGGTCGCTCTTGCCTCAATCTGAGAATCTTTGGGGAAGCGTATGACTATATATCCCAAGCCGAAGATATGGCCGAAGAACTTGACAGGAAAGACATTGTTGCAGCGTGTTTGCTGTTAAAACAAGATGTCCATCTTTCAAAAAGAGACGACTGTTCGGATGAGGAGGAGCTAGAGAAAGCGCTGCAAATAGCCCAAGACCTAGGGGACAAGCTGTTGCTATCCAGTGCCCATGTTTGTATCTCCAATGATCGCCGTCAGTTCGGCTCATATCAGGATTCTACTGATCACGCCACCCTAGCGTTAAAAATCGCGGAATCCCTCGATGAAAACGACTACGATTCTCAAGAAATATTGAGTTTGTGTCTGACGTGCATGAGCAAAACTTGTATACTGGTTGGAAACACTGAAAGAGCACTGCGTTTTCTTGAACAAAACCGACGCGTCTTGAAGAACTTGGGAGACCGCATTCGTCTTAGTGATGTGGAAATGGAAATATCTTACTTAACACTTGCGAAGGCTAGTTCTGAATCAGAAATTGACTCATTATTTCAGCTAACTGTAAAATGCTTTAAACACGCAATAGATATTGCTGATAAAATAAAAGACAAAGATCGTTTATGCAAAACAAAATACAAATATGCTGCTCTTTTGGAGCGATATGGATCTACAACGGGCGCCATTTCGCATTTTAAATGGACAATTGAATTG